CTGGAACACCCAAACCATTTTTTTGGACAACCACTTCAAAAGACCACATCGAAGGATTCTGAAAGAAATGCATCAAAAAAAGTCAAAACCTCGCTCGTAATTTATTCGCAGTGAAAGTTGGAGGCACTTGGAATTAATTCGAGTGGTAAAGCTGAAAGCAGCAAATGCCCGCTAACAATATCGCTGATGGCTCTCTTTTCTGAGAAATGCTTAAGAGCATGTTCATGGATACTCCTTGACTTTTACAAATATCAATTTGCTGTGAAAATTGTTTGCCCCATTTGCTGAGACCGGAGGTCTCAAAATGTTGCTTTTGATCTGAAGAAAATTTTGTGAGTTTCTTTTAGGGACGGTTTACAACAGGTCACTATTGTCGGAAGACCGCTCTTATGCAGGAGCTAAATATGGTACTCAACGGAGTGCGCATAACACTAAGCAGCCCATGATTACAGTACCGTTTCTTTGTTCGCAGCAATGAGGTTCTTTTTCCCATCGCTTTCAGTTTTGCAACAGATCTCGTACCGAAGCGGGACCATCTGATGTGGCATTCACTCAAAATACGAAGTTATTTTCTAGTGATTGGTTTTCCCCTCGGCGACAGACTCCTTAGGTGCCGCTTCGTTTTCCTAACTGCTTTTGCTTTGGCTCTGCTTTGAATATCGGCTGTTTTTTGCTCTAAAGTGTGTACTCTAGAGACCCAATTCGCTTTGTTGCTAACTATCGTTTCGTTAACACGCGTTTTGTTAACCAATTTAAATGAAGTTTTAATAACCCATATTTGAAGTGTGGTATTCGAGAGAGCCGACGTATTAGTTCATTTGGATCGAATCAGGTAGAGCCGACGTACTGGCTTCATTATCTGAACACCGATTCTGTTGATAATCCCGGACCAAATTTGGAAGAGGAGCATGTGGCAACTAATGTCAGCAGCAACAGTTATTTCCAGTTTTATAAGTTTTGGTTCCGCTTCCTTTTTCCGCACCACTGGCTGAGTAAAAGCCTCATATTTTTAGAATGGGAGTGGCTCTACTTGTCGCTACAACCATATCCGCCAACATATATACCAAAATGCCAGAAAAACGAGTATTATTAACACAGGATCACCACACCATTTGCCGGTGCCTGGATCTTCGTTATTAGTATTACAAAAATCTATTTGCGTGCAGGATACAGCTAAACCAGGACCTGAGCTGCACAAATATGGCCTTTGTAAATTGGCCTGTCTGCCTGTTTTCTGTTTCATGAGGATTATTATTAACTGACTAAAAACCAAACTTCTCAAACTGATAAAACGACTAGGATAGCTTTCAGTTTCTGAAGAATTTGTTTAAAGTAAAAATTAACATGGAACAGACAGTTTCATAGCCCGGACATGGTGGATTGTCGTGCTGCAGACTGGATAAGGCAATTTTCATGGTAGCATTCAGCGTGTTAGCAAACTCGGAACGGCATGTCGCAAAATGGTCCTTGATAAAAATTGCGCCAGTTGCCGGTTCCATAAATCGTACCGTTATCACAATGCCATCCGCACCACACTCCGTTTCCAGTTCTGGATTTAACCAGCGTATACGCAGATATGATATCAACAATAAAAGGCGTAAGCATAGATCGTTTTATGCAGTTTAACTGCATTTAGGATATCTGTGCCGCTTTTGCATTCAATTTTTACAGCCACAGGGCTAAAGTGCAGTCTTGGTAAAATTTTAACTAGAGCATCCATCCTGTATATTT